GTGGACAATGGAAATAAGAAAAGCATTAGAATATGCTATTATAATTTTAAATATTAATATTTATTTGTTACAAATATGTATATGCTAACTAGAATATTATATACAATAATAATTTACTACAGCAATAATAGCTTATACAGCATAATAACATGTACAACAAATACAATGTACAATAATGAGAAATCTATTATACAATATTAACCTCACGTACAGGTAAGTTCTCAATGATTCTTTCAAAACTAAGTTTTGATAAATCGATAGTGGTGAATTTATTATCCAGAATTAATTCAGAAACCGCTCTACCTACAGCTGGTGCTTGTTGAATCCCATGTCCACTGAATCCAGTAGCAAATAATAAATTTCTGTGATAAGGGTGCAGTCCAATTATTCCGTTCTGATCAAAGGTATTATATTCGTAATATCCTGCCCAACAGGACTTTAACTGAAAACAGAAAGCACATTATTTATATATATATCTGTCTTAGTATTTTCAAAAAAGACAATTTAAAATGCAACATACTTTCAACTTTTCAAAGGTTGGCACTCTACTTGCGAGTACAGGCCATATTTTTTCTTCAAAATAATCATAATCAACATTTAAGTCTGTAGCTGGTGGTTCTTCCGATTCTTCAGGTGATCTCCCACAGATGTAATTACCTGCTAAACCTTCTCTCCTAAAATAAACATTAAAATATAATTATAGAAAAATTATATCAACATGTAAAGAACTCTCTCACCTAAAATAAGTTCCAGTATAATCTATTGTCAATGGTGTGTTTAAACCAGGTCCATCGGGGCAGTGGAAACAATAAACATATCTCTTCCTACAAAACAAAATTATACTTATATTATTTATTATGATTATAAACTTCATGAAATTTATTTCCAATTAATTACCTTGGTTCAACAGGTAAAGGCGTGTTCAGTAACTTGCCACGGTTTTCTGCTACACCAACATCTGCCATCTTTGCAATATTTCCACTGGCAGCCCCAGCAGCAATAACAGCTAGTGCAAAACTTATAGAGTATGTCTCACCTTCTCGAGTCCTTATCTAACAACAAATATTTCGATAACACACAATAACTCATACTCCACCCACATTACATATTTCTACATTATTTCTACATTCTATAATTTACACGTTACAAATTTAGCGAAGTATTCAATCAACCGAATCTTACATTTAATTTGTCCAACTTCTTATCTGTAACGCTTTTATCACACTCTTCCTTGTATTCGAATCCCATTGCTTCTGCACAAACGTACTGCACACCTTGATAAATTGCTTTCCTTTTAAAAGCACAGAGGAGAGACCATGGATCGAACCAGCCTTCCTTTTCTAATCCCAAACAACCTAAAGCAACACCCTCTATATCGATCCATGGGAACATGTCCTTCAACTTAGTTGGCGACATCAAAATATTGTTTGCACCAAGAAAATTTTGGAGTTTGGAATTATTCATTAATGTATCAGCTCCCTTCTCTGATGATAACATCAAGTAACCAAATGGGTGAAAGGAGGTGTCAACATTAGGCTCTCCATCAATGCCTAGATAACTGTTGACATTGCGCAAGAATTCTGCACCAAAGAGAGACATCTCGATGTTCTCTTGCAGAGAAAACTGCTGGCGCAGACCACCAACAGAGAGAACTGTCGATGCTGTGGAGTACTGAAATAATTGTATAATTAATTTATGGTTTTAAACTCTTTAATATCTAGTCAAATCTTGTTTAATGTCAAAAACTTACCCAAGGATCTTTCTCGATAACAAGAACTTTAAGGTCTCTGAAACATCGCCTTTTCAACCAATAAGCTGCAGAACTACCTATTATACCTCCACCAATTACTATAACATCACAAGTTAAGGGTACTATTGGCGGACGATCTGACCATGGGACTACATCGTCCTTGGGATCCCATGGTAAAATGGCATTTGTTAAAGTTTCTAAACTATTTTTAAATTCTTTCAATTTATTTAATTGAGAATTCTTTTTCTTCTGATCATTTTTTATAATGATCCGCTGAAATGTGAGAAAACAAAATATCATGAAATTAATATAATAGTATAATAAAATGCTAAAAATATAGAAGTAATTAAAGAATAATTTACTCCAAAAAATGTTTTCCATTTCTTACATTCTTTTGTGACTTAATTAGATAAATTAATTAAGTTACGATAATTTGTAATAATAGCAAGCAAACTAAAACTCAGCATTTCCTTCAATTCTATGATAATTTAAGTCATAAAATATTAATACAAATTATTCAAACAGTGCTGGATAGTACTTCGATAACCTATAAACTTTAATTAAGTACTTACTTTTTCAACGTAAGTTCTATTTTGAACAAAGACACATTTTTGTAAGAAGTTAATCCGTTTTTCGTATTTAAATACAGTCGATAACATATTTACAATTTACAGTAACTCTCGCTTGAAATCAAGTGCGTTCGATTTCATATCATTAACCTATTATATCTGATTTTATTAAAGTCTATTTATGATCTTTCCTGAAATGATAAGATAATTTCCATATTTTTGTTTCCAATATCGTATCTCTATGTCTGCAGTTTTTAATCATAAATCAGATAAAATCTCTTGATCTCTTGATTCCATGTGCAGGTAGTATTCAATTTATCAGTATTTATGGCACATGTTATATTATACACTATAGTATAAGTATGCTGTTAGATATAGATATATGTACATATATACATATGTGCCATCGTACCTCGTACCGTCTCGCGATATATCGATCGTCGATTCGATATTTATTCAAATCAGTATCTTGTTATTAGATATAGAATTCATCTATGAGAATTTCTTGTGCTTTCTCATTATACTTCATATAATATCCTTCCGTAGAATGAAAGTCTGCACAATCATAATATCATTTATTTGTTACAATAAAAAAACAATACTCTAATTCTATAAAAATGTTTATACGAAAAATTATACAACTGGGTACAAATGAGATCTAGCAATGATTTTATTAAAATAACTGTATTATTGTATAACAACAAGTTAAGATATAACGACAGTACCTATGTACATAAACAATTTTCGTCAATGTATCTTACAAAACAGAGAACACCACACTAATTACAAAAATTGTCTTTATTGGGATACTTTCATTGCTGTAGCAATTATCCTATTTCTTCCTTCATTGGTACTATTTTCATAATTTGTTTATTTTACAGTATATCACAATAATTCTTGACTTGACAGAAATCAATATTAAAAACTGTCAACCCTTATTGGTTTGTCTATCAATCATGTTGCACGGTATTAATACTAATTTAGGAATCATCCCAGGTGGTGCAATAAATTGTTGAGTACTCTGTGGTGTACTACGTCCTGAATATCTGAGCTCTGCTTCTGTCACAATTTTACAAATATTCATTTTGATATCTGCCTGAGCTTTAGGTGGGAGTCGCTTAACAGTCTGTGCCATACTGTCAAAAAATAATTCAATACTGCTTTTCCCTTCTGGAGCTAGATAAACTTGATCATAATTATTTCGTGTATCCTGTAAATTGAAAAACAATAACAACTATATCCGTAATTAAAAAAACATATTCATCATTAACCTTACATCGACTTTAGAGACACTTTTATTTGGACTGCTTGCAACTGGTGTAGTAACAAAAATTGGTGTATCCACTGTCCTATTCTCGAATGGTGATGTTTTCAATATATTGTAAGTTGTGGGCACTTCTGTTGGTTCAATCTTCACTTTCTTTGGTCTTATTTTCCTATACTTCGATTGGATTTGTTGTGTATACATATCAATATCATTCACCAAAGTTTCCTCCTCCACACTCTTTACTCTAACATCTCCATTATCTGTCAATTCCATAGATTCTCGACTCAAAATGGGATCTGCAGTTGTCTCTTCTAGGATTTCCAAGTATTCACTATAGTCTTCATCGTTACGATCTTCCAGTTGTTCCAGAAGACCTTCAGAACTAATTCCACCAGCATTTATATCCTGGATGTAGTCTTCTGTCAATTCTATACTTTGTGGTTGATAATCAGACTCATACCTAATTAAACAATATTGCAAAATTAGTATATGTACCTCAATTAATTATAAGAATGTTGATGCACTTACGGGAACTTTAGAAAACTGAGATGATCCTCAAAAATCCATTTTTTTCTGCGTACTCCTTTCTCTGTCTTATTTTTATACTTGAGTATACGGCAGTAAGTGTCTCTTAAGTTTTTCCATCTCAATCGCACCCAGGTAGCTGAGAATTTCGATATAAATAGGTAATACAAATACATAATTCTTTTACCAATCAAATTTATGAATTAATTTCTAACTAATACATTTGCTTTTGTAGTCTTATGTCTTATCTTGACATTGTGGACAGTGAATGGTACCAATATAGTTTCATTAAATATTCTTGTTATTGAAACTTTTTATTATTGGTTCAGTTTGGCTCTCCACAGTAAAATAAGCGAAACTGAAGTGTACAACAGTGTAATTCGAAAAACTTGATTGGTACCTATTTCCACTAGTTTTGTGTGTAATTTAGTCCTGAAAGAAGCGGAAAAAAGCAAACATGTCCATACGATCGAGACCGAGCTCGTCGGAAATCCTCTTCCAAACCTTCTGCCGGAATTCTTGCAGCTTAACCGAGGAGCCCTTCACATCTGCATTGTATAAAACCGGGTGCTGTTTTATCGCTTCAATGATCTTCAGAGAAATTTTATGCGAATCAGGCGGCATCGTTGGCACCATTTCGCCCGTTGAGAATCGTTCGGAGCCAGTAAACAATGGTCTTCAATATTGAAAACTGGATCTACACTCCTAACCTCAAATTCAAAGAACCGAATTACAAATATTGCGGAAAATGAATTATTGCATTTGCAATTCAATTAATCATCTTCTGAAATAAAACTGAAATGAATGGTTTTATTTATTGTTGCTATCGCTTTGATTAACTGAAACGATTTATTGTAAGGTTATCAGAGAGAACAAGTGGAAATTCGAAAATATAATTGCATTGCTATTTTGTCGCTCAATTGAGAACAAAATTGAAGTTTGGATCTTTTTATCAAGAGGAGTTTTGAATTTGATTCAATTGTTTATGATTAATAGCATGGCTTGAACTCATTGCACTAGGATTATTATGTTTATGAAAAGTTTCCTTGAATTTCCTTAATTACAGGAAACATTACGTCGCGTCCTTAGAATCGGGCGTTAAGAATGTTGAAAATGAGGAATAGAAATGGCAGTCATTCTTTGGCAGAAACTACACTTCCGTCGCGATGTCTAACCGGAAGTTGATTGTGCACTCGTTTTGTTTTGAATCGTGGGTTAAGTGTGATTTTTCTCAGTAACGTTACGCAAACGAGACGTAAAAATGCGGCAAAAGATGTGTTGTATTTATTTATATAAATGTATCAATATTCTAAATACCTTAAAAGTTCAACTAAATTGTAAAATCTTTTTGTTCAATATTATAAAGATTTTTCATACATACTAGTGGACAATTTTCTTTTTAAAAGCTTAGTCAATTAATTAAGATTGTATTAAATACTATTTCAAGTAGTTATTAAAGATTAGAATAATTTTTAGCTTTGGAATTCTCTCTTGTAGTTTCCCCTCTAGGTCATGTTCACACCATGCATAGTTCATGGCAATTTATTGTACACAATTGCATAACAATCCTTTGCGAAACAAAACGATAATTCAAGAGAACGTAATTTTTAAATTCGAAGAGGATGGCACAGTTACCATCAGGATTAATTACCCATAGTCAAAGGGTGTGCAGGCTATACAAACGCATCTTACGCATTTTAGATGATGCCAATATGTTCAAACATGAATTTAGGTCTGTCTGTAAGCATAATCATATTTCTGAATTCAAATATTTTAATTTTAAAATTTCCAAACCATTCCTACTTTTAAAAATATCTTTATTTTCGTATATTGTAAATTATGCAAACTTTAATTATGTAAACTTCTAATTACATAACCTACAAAAAGTGACAAGACACTGTCATCCATTATCAATTTAGTTTTTTATAAGAATTCCTAAATGCCTTGTATAATATTAGTTTAATGGTTAGATTATTATTTTATAATCTTGTAAATATTTTTCTGTTTATAAAGGTATCAAGCTGTATTAATAAGACAACGTTTTGACGAAAACAAAAACATAAAAGATGTTCGTCTTGCAAAGAAGCTTCTACTGGAAGGTGAAGAAGAAGCGTTCCAAAATGAACATTATCAGCCTAAGAAGTTTCCTGACTCTGAAGGTGGAATAGTTAAAAACAATTACATACTTCTGCCAGATTATTTTCTAGACTATTGGCATCCGATGGAAAAAGCACGGTATCCAAAATACTTTGCAAAGAGGGAAGAGATGAAGAAGGAATACGAAAAGTTCTACTACAAAATGTATCCTGAAGATAAACCTACTAAAAAATAATGAAATATGCAACATTTAAGATTTATGTAGATATAAATATAAACAATAGTAATTAATAATGATGTACAGTAATAATAATACCTTGAATTATTTATCCTTCCGGTCTTCAAATGAAAATCAGATCTATTTAGAAGTGAATTACTATTGTACATATTCTGATGAATGTAACGTATTTTCGAAACTTTGAAGAGCTTTAAGGGATTAAACTTCCTAGTAAGGAGATTTATGAAGGAGGAAACAGGAAGGTTCAATGCAGTGCGCGAATGTGAGACTTCATGAGAATTATGCAGATATTTAATAATGTAAGTCATAGAAAGTAAGGACAAAATTGATGGTGCCGAAGCTATGGAATCTAAGCAGTTTTATACCATTGGATGATTTTTCTTGATGAAATATGTCAAATTCCTATATATTAATTATCAATGAAGGTGGCTCAGTAGAATCATTTATAATTTGAAAATATCAATATCAAAAAGAACTCAAAATTTGCAGCTATTAGCTCGGTATTATCCTCGATTCAGAACTCATTGTAATTTGCAAGATTTTCTGAACCGAGGATGATACCGATTGCCCGGGTCTCACC